CTAAAAACATGAGTTCAAAAATACATAATTTCTCAGCTATGCAAAAATATAAGGATGTAATATGAATTATGAGAGGCTTTATGAATCTAAAGGAACAAAGGCAGCTGCATTGAGCCAGCTTGTCAGACAAGACAAATACAAAAGCAGGCAGATTCCTGAGTTCAAGGCCAGCCTGGGACAGGTGGAGTCCAGGCCCGGGTATAGTAGAAATGGTAATTCCAAGGCGGGGATTATCTGTGCTTAACAGAGGAAGGTTGACCTCTGAATTCTTTTGCAATATTAAAAGAAATGTGTTCTTGCAGTCCCCTAAGAATTAAGGGGATGAGGTCAAGGGATGCTGATTCATAGGATAATCAAAAGGGAACCTGGAGTAAATAGCTGAATTGATACGTAAACAAAAAACTGGGCTTTAGGTCTACTTGAGATGAGCTAGCAAAACGTGATAGCAGTTCTTCTTAGAAATTTTCTCTAGCAAGAGCTGAGCTACCTAGAGATTTCTAGAGAACAAAAATAGCTCTTTTAGACTTTTCCTAACAGGATTTCTGATTTATATCAGAAAATCCATGGATAGCAAACATGGCTCTTTTAGAAATCTTCATAGGTCTTTTAGAATTTTTCTGGCTTTCTGATTTTGATCAGAAAACCCAAGAATTACGTTCAGACTTTTTCTAACAGAATTTCTGACTTGGTTGGATGATCCAATAATTTTTTATAGTGGCTCTTCTGACTTTGGTCAGAAAACCCATTAACTATCCAGATAGCTTTTAGAATTTTTACTAGCAGTGAGAGCTGTCTCAACCAGTTTTTAAAATAGCAAAAAAAGTTGTCTAGATCAGAGCAGAACAGAGAGGGGGGTGGGTGGGGAGGAGAACACAATGTGGAAAGCCATCTCAGCAGAACCTAGGCAGCTAGGCTAGCTTGGACCCATGATTTGACCTGAGTCATGTTTTCACCATTCCCAAATACCTTTTCTCTCAGAACCCCAATCCAAGCTGAGGCTGATCCCTGGCAAACATGTTTCTGTTTTTGGATCCTTGAGAAAAGTAATAAAAAAGTTCATGGAGGAATCTCCTTTCCAACTTCTGTCATTTTAAAACAGGCTCCTGGAGCCAGTCACATGTCAGGGTTCCAGGCCTACCTGCAGATACCATGTTGGCAAATGCTGCCTGCCTTGGTGAGAGCCCCATTGGAGTGTAAACTATCTGGAAAAGGTCAAGCATTTAATCTATTCCCTGTTAAGCCTGGCACTTGTACTAACATTTCAAGCTCTGAGAAAATCTTTTCTATCATATTGACCTAGATGTAAGGCTCTGGCGAGTCTTAGCTTACTAGGGACCCCCTGAGGGAACAACTTGGAGGTGGGGATCAATGCAAAAGCTAGAGGAATTTTATTGTTCCAGCATGTTGGGGTCATCTTGCATCCAAAAGAGGAGGCAACCCCAGGCAGCTCACTCGGTGGACTGTTAAACAGTTTCCACCGGGTAGAAGAGAAACAGCAGCCAGGCGGTGGTGGCGCACGCCTTTAATCCCAGCACTTAGGAGGCAGAGGCCAGTAGATTTCTGAGTTCGAGGCCAGCTTGGTCTACAGAGTGAGTTCCAGGATAGCCAGGGCTATACAGAGAAACCCTGTCTCGAAAAACCAAAATAAATAAATAAATAAATAAATAAATGAGAAACAGCAACTAAGCATAACAGTATGACTTTTAAACTGATTGGTCTTTAGGGAATGAGGTGGCAAGGACTTCCCTTGTCTGTGGGTGGCCATCGGTCGAACCTGTGGAATGTATCCCCACCCACAAGTTGGTGTGTGCCCCTCCCCCCTCCCCGTGATCTGAGGAATGTTAATTAGCCTCTCCATTCTGGAGGGGAGGAGTGCCTAAGTGTTCCATGACCTTTCTCTTCCAGGAGGGGAGAGGTTTGGTGGAATTTTCCAAAGTTCCTGAGCTGATCCCTTCATTCCCTTTTCTTTGTGCATGCTTCAATCCTGAAGCTATTGTGGATAGTCATGCAGCTCATATCTCTGGTCCTCTGTACCTAGCTCTTGATATCTTTGTCTCAGGACCATCAACTGTACTGTACCTATTTGATCTTTAATAAAATCAACTAAGCAATTTAAAATGCAAGGGCCAAAAGTCAGAGGCAGGAACAAAATTATCAGGGGTTCTAACAATGTAGAAATCAAGGTAGTAAACCAAGGGGAGTTAGTGGTTAAATCAAGATTCAAACCATCCTTGGGCTTGCTCCCCCCCCCCCCCCCAGTTTCTCCTGTATCTCTGCCACTGAATCCTTAACTATCTTCCTCCCACTCCCTGAATGGTCTACAGTATGTGTTTCCCAAATGTTCCACACCCTTAGGTAACACAGAAAAAGTAGCCCCCCCCCATATACTGGTGGGCCTGCTGCCAGCTTCTCCCATCTCGGGGGCACACATATATGGGGGTTTCTCGAAGGATATTTATTAATTTCAGGTGTCCACACCCTAAGATCCATCCTCTAAGGCTGCATATGAGACACAGTTTAGATTCAAAAGTCCCTCCCAGACTTTCAGCTAATCCCTATCCCTGTGTCTCTAGGGTGGGGATATCCCAGGAGTCAAGGCCTGCAGCTAACTTACAGAGATCAAAGACAAGGTCTGGTCACCAGACACAAAGCAGGCATTCCACTGTAGTGGACCAAGTCACATCCCCAGTGGCTGGGAGTACTTGCCAAGCCACTTTGGTAGGGTTCTGGGGGGTACTGAGGCTCAGAGCAGGAAAGAAGATACACCATAGCCATCTAATGGTTTCTTTGGCCTTGCAGAATGGCAAATGAGCTTAAGGGAGTTGAGGGGGTTGCTCAGGTGTCTGGCTCCTCTCCAGTCGACATCAGGTGCAGGTGCTGGTCTGATGTGAGTTATGTGTACCCAGACAGTTACTCCATCCACTTTGACGGAGGTGGGGTGGGGGTGGAAAGTGACTGAAGCTCATCCCAGCTGCTCTGATGAAACCCTAATCCTAAACGGAAAACGCTCTGTCTGTCTCTGTTTAGATTTGGAGAAGAAAAAAAAAACCCTAAAGTTCATACACTGAAGCAAAAAGTCTTGGGTCCATGGCATCAGCCAGAGAACACGGGAAGTGAAAAGACCCTAGGCAAGCCCAGTGCTGCAGACCCAGGAGGCCGAGTGGAGAGTCTGTTCTTGAGCTGGCAGATTGCCGTTATCCCTGTTGCTGCACACAGTCTAACAGCCTGTGGGCCTAGATGTAGTTCAGTCACGGGACCCAAAGAAAAGGCATCACTATGCAGCCTCTGCCTTGCTTTGAGTTTTTCAGCTTTAAGCAGATTGAAGTTAAATGTCACCAATGGCTGCATTCACTCTGATATGTGCTTTTAGCATTATGATATTAGCTTTTAGCATAATTTTACATTATAAGGTACATATCATAAACTGAGGTGTTCCTAGGTGAGATAGTCTTATGAGATCCCTGGAGTATGACCTGTCACCAGCCAAAGCACTGACACTCAGTGCATAACCTTATTATATCTCATATTCAGTAGGAGGGATGGGGATCTGAGGGGAATGCTGTTCACCCCAGGAAGTAGTCATCCGCTCATGAGACGCTCCCAAGCTGCCACAATGAGCTGTGGTTTACTGCTCAGCCCCCCAAGTGTCTTGCTGAGGGATGGACTTCAGAACTGAGCTCTCAAGAGGCATGGGTGCTGAAGAGATGGCTCTGATTAAGAACACCAGCTATTCTTCCAGAGGACCTGGACTCAATTCCCGAACTCATACGGTGGCTCACAACCATGTAACCCAGACCAAGTGCCCTATATAGTTATATGGATGAACCTAGTGGAGGACTCTCTGTGCCCCCCTCCCCACCCCCATGGATAAAAGTCTTTCTTCCTCAAGACCCTCCTTGTAGGTTCTGACCATCAAGAAAAAGGAAACACAGGAGGAGGGATCAGATCTGAGAAGAAGTCGATCCTCCAAGACCCTTTAACAGTGGACCTGCTGCTCCAAGACCCTCCTCCTTTGTATCCCCCTATGCTTGCCCCCATGGCCCGACTAGTGCCAGCACCAGGATCCTGTCAGCTCAAGAACAGACTCTCCACTGGGCCTCCTGGGTATCCAGCACTGGGCTGGCCTAGGGTATTTTTACTTCCTGTGTTCTCTGGGCTGATGCCATGGACCCAAGACTTTTTGCTTCAATCAATGTATGAACTTTAGGCTTTTTTATCCCCCCTCCAAATCTAAACAGAGACAGAGTGTTCTTTTTTTAGGGTTAGGGTTTCATCAGAGCAGCTGGGATGAGCCTCTGTCACTTTCCACCCCCTCACCCTCCCATCTCCTCCCCGCTCAGGGATCCAGGCTTGGTGGATCCAGCATGCCTTTAACCCAGCATGCTCCAGCACTTGGAGGCAGAGGCAGGCAAATCTCAAGAGTTTGAGGCCATCCCGGTCTACAGATATAGCTCTAGGACAGTCAGGGCTACACAGAGAATCCTGTCTCAAAAACCCCAAAACAACCACAAAACAACAAAAAACAAAACAACAACAAAACACAACAAAGCAGACAAGCAGGTCTTGGAAATGGCTCTCTCTCCCAGCATAGTTCCACAGCCAGCCAGCCAGCCCAGCCACTGAAGCAGATTCAAATGAAAGAGCAGTCACCAACACCTTTGCCCCAAACTAGAAGCCACCTTCTCATCGGTAAGGCAGGGGAGAGGGCAGCAGAAAGGTTTTGTTACAGAGAACTAGCAATAATGATTACTCAGGGGAGTCAACACCAAGAAGGAAAACAAAATGGCCATCGACCCCAAAGCTCTTTTCCTACTGGTTTTTCATTTCCTGATGGTGCTACAGGCCATCCACAGTGAAAGAAAACCGAAACATTAAACGTGAAGACTTTTACAAATAAAGAATGTATTTAAATTTATAAATTCACACCGGGCAGAGGTGGCACACGCCTTTAATCCCAGCACTTGGGAGGGAGAGGCAGGTGGATTTCTGAGTTTGAGGCCAGTCTGGTCTACAGAGTGAGTTCCAGGATAGCCAGGACTACACAGAGAAACCTTGTCTTGAAAAAAAATTATAAATTCACTAAACATAAATTTTATGAACTTCTGTCCAACAATTTAAAGAAGTGTACAGTTCACACAAAACCCACATTTTCCTTTAGTTAATGTAAGTAGACCAATTTGTCCCCTAAAGGCAAAAGAAAAATCTGTATTAATTAGTTCATGGTGTAAAGGCCAACCAGAGAAACTCCATTATTTTCTAGGCCTCCCTCCATCTAATGACTGCTTGCCATAGACTCAAAATTCCAGAAAGATGGGGTCTCAGGAAACAACCCTGGCTTGGGGACCCCCCAGAAATGTACAGCTGTGACCATCTCCTTGTTATGGAGACTGCTTTTTCAGCTTCTGTAACTCATTTATGGAGAAACCCAGATGGTTCTGAGTTGCTTTAACCACTTAAACTTGGCAGAACAGGCCAGTTTTTGCTTGTTTGTGTAGATATTGTGGGCCTTCCTGTGGTTTTCCCTTTAGAAAACCTTTCCCTACACCCTTCTTTATGGCAATCTTAAATTTGGCTCTCAGACTATCATCCTGCCAGCAGCTCAACAATCTTCTAATTAAAACTGGATTGAGTATGGTCTTTCCCTAGAGGTCAGAAATTCTATATGATGGAATATCATAAGATAATTACATAGGTATTAGTGAAAGAAAAATCAATATAGTTAAAAATAGTCTGCAAGAAGTTTCTCATGTAACTCTGCTGCTGGTTCTTCTTTTAGTCTTGGGCTGGATACTTGAGAACCTCACTGTCCGGAGCGGCCCGCAGGTTCTCTGTGCCCGTTCCCTACCACCACTTCTCAAAGCAGATGTGTTCCTTGGGAACATGGCTGCTTTCCAGGTGCTTAGAGAAAAAGTCTGTCATTGGAGGTGGGCCACAGACATAGAACAGAGTCTCTGCTGAAACATGATCTCTTATCTCCTTTTCCGTTATTCTTCCATCTAAAAACAACCAAGAAAACAAAGAAAACACCACATCAGGCTCGGCCTAAGGCAAGCAAAGCAGGAGGCTCCGTTGCCAGCTGGTCTTAATTGCCTCTGTAGAGATGAAAACTGCCTTCAGCAAAGTAAATGGCTCTTTTATTTAAATAAAGAAAAAAAAAATCCTTTCGGGATGGTAAGATGCTCGCCGGTAAAGGTGCTCGCTACCAAGTCTGATGACCTGGCATCATCCCTGAGACTCACAGACGGAAAGAGAACCAACTCCAAATGTTGTCCTCTGGTCTTCATACAGACCTGCACATGGCACACACACACACACACACACACACACACGCAAACACACACGCACACTCACAAATTTAAAATAACTTTAGCTGGGTGTGGTGATCCAAACCTTTAATCTTAGTATTTAAAGGTAGAGGTAGGGGGATCTTATGAGTTCTAGACTAGCCAAGGCTACACAGTAAGACCTTGTCTCAAAAAAATCTAAAACAAACAAACAAACAAAAAGTAAAGAAAATAACTTTGAAGACTCCTTACAAATAGGGAAACTGAGTAATTTAAATAACTATTAATAGTATATGGAACTGATTCAACCGAAGCAAGACTTTTATTTTTTTGACTATTATAATGATGATGCCAAAGACTTCTAAAACTTGTGAAAAATATACATTTAATATGAACAGTAGGAAATCTATCTATAATAAACCCAAGTATGAACCATCTCAATTTCCCAGGGAATGAGATTCCCAGCAGGTGACTCTTAACAGTTGGCCTGTCTATCCAGTAATTGCAGTTAGTCACAATCTCTTTGGAGACTCACCTGTGACATAAGGCTTAAGTTCCGCACTGATTTGTGCCGTCTGTTTTGTAACATGAAAACTGCAAGTAATCTTTTCAGGAAATTCATGTACTAAGTCGAGGATATCTTTCTGGAATGTCAAACAAATTGGGTCAAGCTACAATTAAAACAAACAAACAAACAAACAAACAAACAACAGCAGTGTATGGTGGCACACATCTTTAATCTCAGCTCTTGGCAGGCAGAAATAGGTGGACCTCTATGAGTTCAAGCCCAGTCTAGTCTACACAGCATATTCTAGGCTAGTCAGGGACAATGTCTCAAAACCACCACTGCCTGGTGCTACCACTACAACCACAATCACCTCCTCCTCTTCCTATTTTGTGCAGCATTTCAGGTAGTCAAGTTAGCAGTGAATTTGCTGGTTGGCCACAAACACCTTACCTTCGGTCTTAACATGTCAAGTGCTAGGACTACAGGTATGACACCATGTCTGGCCCTAATGACTTTTCTTTTTTTTTTTTTTCGAGACAGGGTCTCTCTGTGTAGCCCTGGCTGTCCTGGAACTCACTCTGTAAACCAGGCTAGCCTCGAACTCAGAGATCTACCTGCCTCTGCCTCCCAAGTGCTGGGATCAAAAGGCGTGCGCCACCACCGCCCAGCCCCTAGTGACTTTTCTGTTCCATTAACTTCTAGATTCTGTCCCACTGTGGTGAATTCAATGAGAATGGGCCCCACAGGCTCATGTTTGAATACATGGTCCCAGTTGGTGGAACTGTTTGCGAAGGATTGGGAGGGTGGCCTTGTTAGAGGTGTATCATTGGGGTGAGCTTTGAGGCTTCAAAAGACTCATCCCATTCCCAGTTAGCCCTCTCTTCTTCCTGCTTGTGTCTTAAGATGTGAGCTTTCAGCTAGTGCTTCAGCACCATGTCTGCCTGCCTGTCTGCCATCATGAGGGTCAGGAACTATAACTTCTGAAACCAGAACTTCCATGTTAATCTTTCTTAAATAGGGTGCCGTGGTCACAGTGTTATATTATAGCCATAGAAAAGTAATGAAGACACCCCCAAATCTCATCTTAATGTTGTCACTTGGCTGGAAACATTTTTATCTGTCCTGGGTGAAATGTATCAGTTAGTTATCATTGAATTGATTAAGGCTTGTAAGCTTTCTTTGTGAACCTTTGCAGAGAATCTGAACCTACAGAAAAAACACGTTCCCATTTGTTTACATGTTTACTTATTTGTACTGGCATATATTCACCGTTCAGAAAAGGGTTTCATAGAAGACATCTGCACTGGATGACTGGATAATCCAGTCTGGCATTACATCAGGCACTTCGGCCATACTCACTCCACCCTTCTCCCTTCACCCCATTCAGTCCTCGGCCTCACTTCCTCCTCCTCCTCCTCCTATCCACCACCTTTATGGCTTTTCATTGTTTAATTAGCATACAGTGTATCAGGTTTGATTACGGCATTCTCATACCCACTTTATTGTGGTTGCTCACCCCACGGCACCGCACCCCACCGCACACTCCTCTCCTCCTGCCCCAAGCTCTCGTCTGCATCCTTCAGCTCAGCAGTCCCCTTGCACCTGTCATGTCATACTGCCTGTTGTTTATGGATGACACAATTTCACACAGCACACTGTAGACATCTCCCACCTTACCTTAAACAGGAGTTCGCTGGTGTTCTTTGCACTGTAGAACAGTTTTATTGTTCCTATATCATAGCTACTTCCTTTGTCTGCGTGGTCTCGGTGGAGATCTGCCGAGTGGCGCAGGATAGAAAGCAGGGGGTTAATCCCAACCCCTCCAGCAATCAGGACGAGGTTTCGAGGGGCATCTGTGGGCTGAGGGTCAAAGAAGAACTCTCCACCTACTCTGAGAGCCACTTCAGAGTCAAGTGTGCACTGAAGCAAGAAAGAAAAGATCCTTTGGTCCTGTGCAGGGCAAGTCTCAGAGCAAACGTCTACGTAAGTGAAACCACTGAGCTAACTTTCTGCCTGCCTATCAGTCTTTGGCACGATCTACACAGCTTGTTTTCAAGACTTGACTCTACATATCCAGCACTTGTGCTGCTGGCTGTTCTAACTTTGTGGTCCATATGGCATATCCATTCTATGGCTATGGAACTTGCTTCAGAGATTTGCCATTAGCATCACAGATGAGGCACTGAGATGACAAAGCAGCAATGGACTCAGGCAGGGCCACCTCTATGGTATGCATCCCTTCACTGGTCATGCTCCTATGTTCTGAGCTGAGAAAGATGGGATGAGACTGCTGTGCCTTCAAGCTGTAAGGCCCTGGGGTCCCTCCTGAGCTGGGCAGACTCAGTCCGACCAGTGTGCAGGCTTGCCCCAGCACTGTGGCATCAGCCGTCTGTTCACATCTCCCTCTAGCAGCCAGGAGGGCAGCAGGAGGCTATACATGCAGACTGAGTCTCACACCGCCCTGCCTGTGTAATGTACCAGTAGTTGGTGAGGTCACTTACACCACAGTTGACTCCAGATGCCTCTGATGGAATGTTCTAGAAACCTGTGGCAACATTTTTTTTCATTGTCACAGTGATTTGGGGGGTAGGGCTAGATGTCCCATATAACTGGTAGCTTCCTAGATCTGGCTCCTATTAAACTGATGGCTAAATCTGCAGGAATTTTGTGAGTTATTCTTTATTGGTAGTTTGGAATCAGCCACTGTGGGAATATCCAGAACACCAAAATTTGCACGTAATACAAATGAGGGCTTTTTAAGATTCAAATCTCTGGATCACCTGCAAGGCCTCATTGTCATGCACAGGACTGTCAAGAAGATTTCTGAAGTGACCCACAGAGTGTTCACATGGGCAAAAGCCAATCTGTAATGATCTGAGGCCACAGACTAAACCTGTTAAGTCAAATGTTTTTGTTGCTGTGAACAACTATCTGAGGAAACAATTTAAAAAATACAAATATTTGCTTTTAGCTCCTAGCTTCAGAGGTCTTCGTGCACATCAACTAGCGGGAGCCATTGTTTCTAGGCTGTGGGGAGGCAGAGGGGACATAAGGATATAGAAGCCAATCTGCTCAGCACATGGCAGCCTGGAAGTACAGGAAGAGAATGCCCAGGTAAGGGTCTTCTCCCCTTTACACTGTATCTTTCCCCCACTCAGTCCACAGGATGGTGCTGCCTACCCACATTCAGCGTGTGTATTCTACCCTAATGCTCTTTGGAAATGGCCTCAGAACACATCCAGAGGGGAGCCTTACTAACGAATCCCAACTCTCTTCTCCATGAAGCTCAACAGTCAAGGTTAACATGAACCATGTCTCCTTTGTAAATAAGCTCAGACAGCTTTGCACAAATCCGAGTTCGCCTGAATCTCCCAGAATCTAAGTAGTGTGAAGACTGCACTCTGCACTCTGATCTGGAAGACAACACCCTAGGTGGTGACATGAGTGTCTTTCTGCACCCACACAGCAGGCCTGTATCAGCTACACTTACAGACCACAGCGGGCCTGTATCAGCTGCACATACAGACCATATATATTTGTGGTAACTGCTTTTAAAGTTCTCTGAGTGCTTCATTCTATCTTGTGATTTCCATATGCCCAAACTTGAGTGTTTGGAAATATTCTTTAATTATGGGTCCCTTTCCTTCCTTACTCCTCCTTTGTATTTCAGCTAGAGAACTGTGAGTTTGGGGTGCCTTTTCAGTTTTATATTTCTTTACTATAATTATAAATTTTGTTTTGGGATGGTTCTAGAATGGAGGCAATGGATCTGAGAGGTTTACCATAACCACATGTCATAAAACTTTTCTGAGCCTCTGCTGCCAAGTGTGGAAATAGCAGACTGGATGACCCTGGGCACCATGACACTCCATCAGGTTCTATAGAAAAAGATGTCTTCGCCGATATGGCTCTCAGAGAAGAAACACTATGGGATGTGTCTACCTCCTTCTTACCTCCCTCTAAAACCAGAATCCAGGAAGATTCTGTGAATACACTGAAAGTAGTTTTGCCTCCTTGCAAGCTCTTGGCATAAATGAACAGAATTTAGAAGTAGTAATGTATCACATCACACACTTTTGGAGGGTCAAAGCCTTGGCATTGAGTCCTTGGACGTCACAAACCAGATAGCAGGAAACACTCTGGACAGGGATTTTTGTTTTGTTTTTGGAGACAGGGTTTCTCTGTGTAGCCCTGGCTGTCCTGGAACTCACTCTGTAGACCAGGCTGGCCTTGAACTCAGAAATCCGACTGTCTCTGCCTCCCAAGTGCTGGGATTAGAGGCGTGCACCACCACTGCCTGGCGCAAGGTTCTACAACTTAAGACGACCAAACTTAGAGAAAAAAACTCGAAGGGAAAAAAAATTCCAATGAATTCATAAAACAGGTGTTTGGTAAAGAACTGTTAAGTGAATGGAAATCCTTTCTCTAGGGCAGAAACTCCTAAATGTACCTATTTTAAATATGTGGGAGTGTAACATGACAGGAGTGGGCTTTCATTTTGACAGAAGCAGCAGCAAGGGAGCTGCTGGTTCAGAACGTAACTCTAGGTGTGGCTGCATGGCCACAGCGCAATGAAAACCTGCTCCATCCTTCAAGCCCTAAGCGAGAAGAGGCTCCGCCCTCTGCGGCAGCCCTGCTCATCTGCATATACGCTTCTCTCTTCAGCCAAGAACAAGAGACCAAGACTTCTTCTCTGATGCCGCTCCGCTCCGTATGTGTAGCAATGACAACACAGAAAGCCACTCTAGTTTAGGAAGTAGAGTGTGAGAAGCTCCCTTTGCCTTCTGTTGATGAAGAGAAGCTGCCGGTGGAGCACAGATGCGCAAGTCAAACCACTGCACTCCCTAACACAGCAGCAAAAGGGCCTCTGGGCCACACACAGCAAGTGTGTCTTCAAGTCTTAAACTTGAAGACAGATTTTCTGTCTCCACAGCAACTGGTGCAGACCAGTAACAGCTGTCCCAAACTCCCAGCACTGCCAAGGCCTATGGAAGATGACTTTAAGCACTCTATCCCACGACAACTGAGCAGCCTGCTGCCACCAGACACATTTCCACTGTCCACCCTAACAGCTCACTAGGAGTCAGCTCAGGAGGGAAGGAGCCTCCTGAAAATGGTTTCAAGACAAATCTGACTTCATAATGGCTGGTGGCAACTCCTACCGCATAGAGCAGACCAGGCAACTGTCTGTATCCCACCAGCTACAGCTGCAGGCTGCATTTCCCTGGTGGTTAATGAACGGTCAACATCTTTTCTTTTTTCACCTGGTCGTAGGTTATATTTAATTCTGTTAACGGTCTTTTGCAGGAAAGGTTTAATCTTTGTTAACTCTAAAACACCTTATTTTCTTTTATAGTTCTTCCTCTTGGTGCTGCATAACTCTCTACTTACGTTTCAAGTATTTCCAGTGTTTTCAACTAGAACTTCAGTCTCGTGCTTCACATCTATATCTACAGCCATTTACATTCTGAATGTAAAGTATGAGGTTCAGGCCCAAGGTTTTCACGTCTTTATGTAAATGTACAATTGTGCCTATGCTCTCTGCTGGAAAAGCTATCCTTTCTCCACCTGCTTCTTTAGAGTTTTTGTTCAAACTGGAATGGTAGCACATGTCAGTCTCTTTCTGACTCCTCTGTATCTGCCCTTTACCAGTACTGTGCTCTTTTGATTATTATCACGTCAGTTTGTTTTTTTTTTTTTTTTTTTTGAGACAGGGTTTCTTTGTGTAGTCCTGGCTGTCCTGGAATTCACTCTGTAGACCAGGCTGGCCTCGAACTCAGAAATCTGCCTGTCTCTGCCTCCCAAGTGCTGGGATTAAAGGCGTGCCCCACCACTGCCCAGCATATCACGTCACTTTACTCCTAAAATTTTAAGTGAACTTCTTGTTGTCACTGTTGGCTTAAGACAGGGCTCACTAAGTAGACCAGGCTAGCCCTGAACTACAAACTTCCAGCTGAGATTACAGGTGTATGCCGTCCACATCCTTCCTGTCCTGTTCTTGTTCAGAATTGTTCCAGTTCTTTCCTTCCCATTGAAAGGAAAACCAACTTCTGAGCACAAAGGAGATTGATTTGCCCCAGAGGGACAGAGGGCAGGGAACAAGAGACAGATATAGAAGATAGAGGACCCAGGAGGAGGGGAAGGGCACAAGGGAGAGGGGGAAATGTTTATTTGTTCTGAAGGGGTAGGACAAAGCACTGCTCCTGGATAGAGAGAAGACAGACAAGGCCCATGAGAAAATGGTGGTTCACAAAGGTGAAGAGGGAAACCCCATGTTAGGATGAGGTGTTTAACTTTAATTGGGCATGTTAATTAGGTGAGCCAAAGGGGGCTTTGGATTGTTGGACTTCAATACTTTTCGAGTTGGACCTTGATAGTCAGCCTCAGGAGGAGGAAGTGTCCAAATAAGGGAATAGACCTTGGCAGATAGCTTGAGGAATGTGATCTAATGGTTTCTAGCAAAGCAGAGGGAGTGGGGGATGGGAGAATGAGGCCTGCCAGAGCCAAGTTTGCCATTCTCGGGCCAGCCAGAGCCCTTCATAAACTCTAGTCACTTGTCTATCCATAAGACCAGTCGACTCTTGTTGAATGTTATAACAAATCCACCAATTGAAGGGGACCCACCTTCCTTGTGTTGAGCCCCCAGTCCACGAACACTGTATGCCTTGACTGCATTGCTCCATGCAGGATGGAGAAGGACAGTTTTCTTGTTTTGAAGATCCATACTGGCGGATGGACCAAGAAAGTGATATAGTTTGCAAGTTTTCACTGCCCAGAAGGTCTCTTCAGCCACAGGGCACCTTACTTCCTACAAATATGGCTTGTTTCTGATTCTTTGGGTAGCTCTTGTCCCAAGTGAACCAAACTGTGGCCACTAGAGTCAACCTTTTCTCCCAGCTGTTCTGTAGAACAATGATCCATGTCCACCCCCACCATCTATTTGTCCTGGTGCTGTGGTAAGACCTGCTCCTATTGGCTTCTTTCCTCTCCTTACATGCAGTTCCTAGACAAACAAGAACTCTCTGGAACCTTTAGAAACACAGTGATGAGAAAAAAGTTAGTTCTTGTTTTCTGTTCTCTTTTTGTTGAATGTCAATAATTCCTGGATGGGAGGACTGAAACAGTACTGCCTTTCTGGGGACACTTTGGTTACGGAGATGATCAAACGCTGAGATAGGATGGAGATTGTAGGTAAACATAAGTCATGCTATGGTAAGGAACGCAACAGAAAGAAAGAAGGTCAAAACTGAAGTTCATTTTGTCCCTGCCTTCTAACAGGTATGGAGGGCAATGTGCGCAGGGTCAAGGGTGAGCCTCGGGATTCAGCGCCAGGTCCAAGCAAGTTAGATCTGGGCCCTCTCAGAACCCCATGTGAAGAGGCCTCTGTGACACAGTAAGCACCACAGACTCAGGGTTACTGACTATCAGTAACAGCACATGCTTCCCCTCCAAATACTAGGCAGAAGTTCCTTCCTTTAGGATAGTCATAGAAAGATTATTTACATAACAAAGACAGTTTTCAAACACTGTATAAAATGCTTGGTAAAAACATTTACCAATCCTTTTAAGACAGTTCACCAAATGAGGTTCTTCTTCTCCACCTTTCCGGGGGAGCTCAGTGTGAGTTTGTACCCTGCACATCCAACACCAAGTGTGTGGGGCCAGACTGACCCAAGACTTTCTCAGAGGTCCTGATCAAAGGACAAAGGGAACTTAGTTTTGTGTCCTTGTCCAGGAATGAATTTGGTAGGGCCTGTCTGAGGTTGGAGCCAGTGCCTCAAAGGAGTCAAGGCTGTAGTTTTGGGAACCTGACTCTTCCCCAGGGTCTGTGGTTATCAGACCTTAGGTAGCTGTGTCTGAGGTATCCTGTGTTCTTTGGCCAACACTGTCTGACAGTCAGCTCTCTGCTGACCTTGGGCATTTCCCCCTTTTAATTAGTATATAGGATGCTGTACTTCTTAATAGACTTGCTTGGCCTAAGTTTATTTCTCATCCCTGGTCCTCCCACTTGACACCTGCCATTCAAGACCCTCGTCCCTCCAGGTTCCAGTTACAAGCAAACCAACTGAGCAGAACACAAACTTAACGAGAGGCAGAGATGCTCAGGTCTCTAAAAAAGTCAGTTGAGGGTCTGGAGAGATGGCTCTGTAGTTCGGAACACTTGGCCCTCTCACAGAGGACTCAGATCTGGTTCCAGGTACCTGCATGGTGACTCACAACCATCAGTGGCTCCAATTCCAGGAACTCTGACAATCTCCGAGAGAAAGAGACATGTGGATGGTGCACAAACAGGGAAAATACTCATGCACATAAAAAAAGTTATGTTTTCAAAGCAGTCGCTCACCTTATTGTGAACCCAGACAGCAGGAGGGTGGTCTGTGTATTTCACTGCCAATTCTATTATCCTCTCTCGTTCTAGCCGTTGGGGACTGGAACAGATTGAAAACCCACCAACCACTGAGACTCCTGGGATGAAGAAATCAACCCTAAAAGGACAGACGAACAAACCATCACTGTTGCAGTAATTTAAAAAGTTGTCAACAGCAGGCAACAAAACAGACATTTTAGTTGAACTAAGAAAAAGATAAACTACTAAATTAATAAAAGATAAACAAGTATAGCTAATCTTACAAAAATAAAAAAATTCTGCAGGAATTTTACGATGAACTATTAGGCTAAAATATAATTTAGATGAACCACACAAATTACTAAGAAGATATCAACTAGCAAAGAAGGACCAAGAAGAGACAGAAAAATCTCATCCCGTCTACACACGCTCAAAGAACTGGAGTAATAAAACGTAAGTCACGGTAAGGACTTTGGTTCAGACGGCGCCACTGGGGAGTTGCAACACACACTTAAAGTACAATTAAAAGCAATCCTTGCTGGGCGGTGGTGGCTCACGCCTTTAATCCCAGCACTTGGGAGGCAGAGGCAGGCGGATTTCTGAGTTCGAGGCCAGCCTGGTCTACAGAGTGAGTTCTAGGACAGCCAGGGCTACACAGAGAAACCCTGTCTCAAAAAAAAAAAAACAAAAAAACAACAAAAAAAAACAAAACAAAAAAGCAATCCTTCAGAAACTGCCCCAAACAGAAGAGAAAAGACACTGTGGAACTTACTCTAATGAAGCTGGTATTACCCTGATAATTAAAGACACTGAATGGAAACTATAGACCAATATCCATTCAAATAAAGACAGGAAAATTCCAAGAATACAAGGCTGGCTTAACACCTGTCCTCATTAGTTTTTGAATCAACACAAGTGCTAGGTTCAATGAGACATGCTTCTCAAAAAGATAAGGTAGCCATGTGTGGCGCATGCAGACCTCTGAGTTGAAGGCCAAGGCCCTTTTCAGCCACTTTATCTATTCTATTAGAACAAAGACTGATTTTAGGCATCAGTGCCCAGCAACCATAACTGGAGCAGGTCAGGTGACTATCTGCAGACACAACTGTAGAGCTGTGGTTCCACAGATCAACACTTTGCTTTGTAGAAACTGGACTTACAAAAGGTAGGTTTCAGACAGACAGAGGGACACATGGGTTACAACCAAAAGAATCAAGCTGTCCATGCCAAAACAGAAATGACCAAAAATTCCTCTCCTGGTAGGAAAGTCCTTTCCAGAAGAAAATATACTGCCTGATAGCACTTTCATAAATACACACACTTGGGCAAGGGAAATTCCACTCACCACTGGCCAGCCTTAAAGGAAAAGTCTTTATCAGCAACAAGCAAACGGAGGCTCTTCACTGATGGAGACTCGTGAGTGATTTCACACACCTTAGCTGCAGCCACGACCTGAAGCAGAGAGGTCTGGGGCTTAGAGACATGTGGTTTTAGGAAACTGTCCAACAAGGCACAGCACACATGGCTTTGCTCTGCATCAAGTGTGCAAACTGAATGAACTTTATAAGACGTACTATAATGCTGTCTCACTCTGAATACAAACTTCCTTACAGGGACTATATAGTATCCATCTGGGTTGGCACCTTGAAGAGCTCTGTGGTGCGATGCCCTCAGCAACCCTGCCTGGCATCTAAAGTCCCCTTCAGTAGTAGGCCAAGCGAGGGAGGGCACAGGTGCTTCTCTGTAAGAAGTCCACAGCACACTAACAGCAGACAGAAAGCATCAAGCACTTTTTAAAGAGCAAAGAAACAGGAAACTGGGTTTGTACTCATGTGCTTCCTTCTTGCCTTTGTTTTCTGAGTTGAGGGGTCTCACTATGCAGCCCTGGCTGGCCTGTTACTAAGTGAATCAGGCTGGCCTTGAACTCACTTGAGCCTGCCTCCCGAGTGGTGATTAAGATGTGCACCACGATGCTTGGCTCGTGTGTTTATGTCTTAATTTATTATATTTTTCCAAATATAAGCACTCATGACCTTAAAACAAGACTGCCAGAGCCTTTTCCTACTGGGAGTTTTAGGACCCACTACTCTCAGGGATGATTTTGCTCTCTGAGTGACTTGGGAACTGTCAGTGAAGGTTATCCACGCCTCAGCACCCATCACACGTAAGATGTCTCTCCGTCCTTCACTCCGCCTCTGCTCTGTACTCCTCTTCCTCCTCTAAACTTGGATATTATCGAGGGTAGAAGACAGACATGACTCCCCTTAACTGCCTTCTGTTCAACTCCACCTGTGGCACTGGCCAGGGGCTGATCAAATGTAGTCCCCTCAACAGAGGGACTCCAACCAGCCCTACCAGAGGATGCTTTGGAAACCTGCCGCCTTGCTGCTAGCTCAGTCTGGCCTTTTCTTCAACAGGACTTCCAGGTCTAACCAACTCTCAAAGGGAGACCACTTTAAAAATTCCACTAGAAAAAGTCTTACTACCTCAAAATAGCTCCTGAAATTTCTATCCTTTGTCCTCTGCTGTAAAAGCCCTTGCCTCTCTTTCTCTACTTGTTGTTAATCCCTTCTTCCTCCTGTCTTGGAGAACAAGTGGGTGATTTCCATGATAGCCCAATATGCCTGCACCTTAAGAAAAAGACAGGGTCTGTCTACATAGCCTAGGCTGGCCTGGAGCCTGCTATCCTCTGCCTTAGTGCTAAGATTACAGACTTGTGTCACCAGGCAATGTCCCTTCTACCTATACTCCCGATCCTAATCTCTTTCTGTGACATATTCTACCCTATCAACTACTAGGCAACCTATTGTTCACAGTTCTCTGGTACCTTCTTGTATCATCAGACATGGCCTACATTGCTACTGGCTTTATCTTGAACAGCTCAGAAAGAAGCAGAGCATAGCTGCCAACAGATGGACTCCACAGTGAGAAAGACCGGATTTAAATGCTGGCACCACTACCACCATGTAACTCAAGTTAATATCCTTGCTGCCTTCAACTATGAACTGAACCGGTAACACCTTTGTTTCATAGGATTGCTGGGGGCACTGAAGTAAATAACACAAACAAAAGCACTTCTAATGTTGCTGGCCCATAGTAAGTATATGTTGTTTGTTACCATGTATTTTATTGCCCCATCTCTGTGGCTGGGAGGACCCTCTGGAGCGGACTGAGTCCTCCCCAACGCCACACAATGCTGAGGTCCTTGCCCCAGAGATCATCTACTTTCCTCAGCTCCTCCCATTTCCTCCCACTTCTCATTCTGCTTAGGAGAATAAAAGCTAGAAATAAGAATGGGGAAATGAGCCAGGCGGTGGTGGCGCACGCCTTTAGTCCCAGCACTTGGGAGGCAGAGGCAGGCGGATTTCTGAGTTCGAGGCCAGCCTGGTCTACAGAGTGAGTTCCAGGACAGACAGGGCTACACAGAGAGACCCTGTCTCAAAAAACAAAAACAAAAACAAACAAACAAAAAAAAAGTGGGGAAATGAAGTTAGAAATTTCTTCCCCTAAAGACAGCAACAGGATCAGAACTGTAGTCCTGTACTTCCTGACTCTTGGGTACCAGGTGCTCAGCTTTCAATCTCTCTGTCAGAGCTTATTTCAGCCCTTCTTTGTTCTACACCAGGATCACAAGCGCCTCCCCAAAGCCCCGACACTTCTGCCCTACAAGTCCTGAATGGTGACTCTAATTTAAACTCTGGTAACCGTTACCTGCAGGCCAAACCTCAGTACTTTGGTGAGTCATGTTTGATTGGACACAGCAAGCATGGTTGGTGTACATCTGTCATGGCTGTCTGCACCTCAAAGATGCTGTTCAGTGATGGATTTGCTTAACTACCTGGACCTTTGAAAAGTTTGTCCTAATTGATCTACCTACTTCCATAGGCTACAAAAAATGTACACACAGCTTGTGCTGTAAACCATTTTCTCTTTAATCTGACAAGACTTCACTTTCATGAAGCTTATATAGTCACACGGTCAGCGCTTCTGCGTGTGTTTTCAGGTCTATCAATGGGAAACATCTAATTCTCATATGTCTATTAACTTACTCTGCTGAATACTCCTCAAAAAGAAAAAAAAAATCAAAGTGGAAGCAACAATCACCTAGTACCAAAGCAATTCTCTGAAGCAGGATTAAGTTTTAGAAGTAGGACTAGACAGTATATATGTTAAAGTGTCTCCTTATAATGAAACATAAAATGAAACTATGGCAACAATATAATTTCTGACCATGTTTGTAGAAGTATATAGATATAGGGTTTTCCTTGCTTTACAGAGATGTACAGCACTAAACTAAATACATCTGAATATGTGTGAACTACTCACAAAAGTCAAAGCAAATATCCACTGTGTGTTTGAAATGGAAACAGGGCTACTCACTGGGATAAAGGTGAGGATCCTCTATTTCCCAGGCCTCGGCACCCTTCAGGTGGCAGCTTAACTTTCTAGAGCCTGGACATGAGTGACAGGCTGCAGGGGAGGGGCAATGAGCTCGGCCACCTTTCTGTCTCAGATGTCAGTGCTGCTCTGATGAGCTACGAGATGCTTCGAAAGCAGGACAAACAAGGACTTTGACACATAATGGCAAAAAAAGAAAAGAAGGTAAGCCATTCACAGTGTGTAGGCTATACAAGTTCCCTCTCCTACAGCACGCCTCAGTGTATCTGTGAGGAAGGGCCTAGCCACAGCTGTGCTCCCTCACCGAAACACCCACTCATGCCAAACCTGGTGGACAATCTTAGTACTACTCAGCCATTGCTTTCTAATTAGGTACAAATACCCTGCTCAGGAGGATAAAATCTCCCTGACTGTCCCTCATGGGGTCCAGCCTCACCTAAAGTCTTTCCTATAAGCTAGTCAGTGTGCAAGCTGCCCAGCCAGGAACCCCCACACGCCCACAGACACAAACCTCCCGGCGGAGGACACTGGCGGTTCTCTCTAGGTGGTCAGTTTTCCTTCTGGATTTCATTAAGCTTTTTAAAAGAAGGAAAAATTTGGTTATTAAGCATTATCCTTATAGAATAATAAAACTAGCTTTTCCTGTCAACACCCTGCCCCTGCCCGCCAAATAAATCATGGCTATTGAAAATACAATTGTGGATTGTACAAAATACTGAAACTCTACCAGCAATAAGTTGCACACCCAACAGTTTCCAATCTGATGGCATGAACACTGAAGCTAGCATGCTGTCTCTCTTGAGTTCGAAGGACTCTCCATCTCCCACAAACCATCAGCAGATCAGATCTCTGAGAATCAACCCACATGACACCACAGGCTGACAACTCACCTGGCTAGGGTAAGGTGACGCAAAGTGCTGGGAGTCAATCCCCACGAAGCAGCCTGAGTGCAGATGGCTCCCACAGAACCTCGAGACAGCCCAGGAATCAAGACAGCATGGGCCATGGTCCTTCCTGGGCAAATGGAACTGAAATTTAAAATCATTTTCAGACAAAGTAGAGAAATGCCAGATTGTGTTAGGGGCAGGTTAAAAAGAGTTTGGGGGCTGGAGATATACTCCAGTGATGGGGGGGGGGTAATTAGTGAAGTCCTCTTCACGGTGACAAAAGTGGAGTTGAGAGCAGAGCTGATTGAGGCAGCCAGGAGACATGAAGTTGAGACATGAAGAACACTGCAGCAGAGATCTTGGCAAGAACAAAGCCCAAGCAAGAAACAACCCTGGCGAGTTAGAGGAGCTGGGTAAGAATGACAGGAAGCTGTATATGTGTCCTGGGTCACACAGGAGGCTAATGGGAAGGTACAAAACTTCCCTGAAGGGCACTTAAAGCAACTGAAGAAAGTTCAGAACAAGGACATGATCTTTGTAATTTTAAATGGTTGCCCAAGTTGAAGCAAGAAGTCAAGACTCTAAGATTCTGGTAGAACAGGAGCCAGAGATGGCAGGACAGTATAAAAAACCGTTTGGGAATCAGGGCTCTACAACTTGCTGAGAGGTTCCTACTGTAGGAACAGCCTTGCTGGTTTCCTCTCATTCTGCCAGAAACAGACCACGCATAGCAGAGTTATTGATTAAGAGTCTGGTTCTAGGATTAAAGGAGTTCAAGTCAGCACCATGACTTTCGAGTTTTGCCTTAGCAAATTCTTTAGTCCCTAAACCTCGCTTCCCAGTACTAAAGATACACCCCATCTGCACCTCACTGTGTCATTCTAATGCTATAACACATGTAAGAGTTATCCAGAACCCAGTGTAAGCTACCATAAATAAATGACTCATTAGTTCTTTTTTTTTTTTTTTTTTTTTTTGTTTTTTCGAGACAGGGTTTCTCTTTATAGCCCGGGCTGTCCTGGAACTCACTCTGTAGACCAGGCTAGCCTCGAACTCAGAAATCCACCTGCCTCTGCCTCCCAAGTGCTGGGATTAAAGGGGTGCGCCACCACTGCCTGGCTCATTAGTTCTTCTTTTTCTATTTTAAATAATATACACGCAAATGATTCATTGAGAAGTTACAGAGAAAAGCTAGCTGGCTATAACTTCAGTCTTTAAGACGCCCCAGAAAATTGTTTTTGATGGGTCTGAATTGCTTTCTGAAAGACCAGGACTTGGAGTCTAGCTAAGCATCTGACATGCAAAAGACCCAAGGTTGGATTCCCAGTCCTGGTAAAAAGAAATGTTTCAAAAATTTATTACTTAAAGCCTTTTATTTTAATATTTTATGGTGTTTGTCTACAAGTATATCTGTGTACCATGTGTGTACCTGATACCTATGGAAGTCAGAAGGGGGAGCTGGATCCTCTGGGACTGCAGTTATAGCTGTGAGCCTCCATGTGGGTACTGGGAATCGAACCCAGGTCCTCTAGCAGAGCAATGAGTGCTATTAACCAGTGTGCCAATTCTCCAGCTCCATCATCATCACCATTATTATTATTATTAATGTACAGGGGTATTTCCCCTGCATGTACATCTGTGCACCATGTGCATGCCTGGTGCCCTCAGAGGCCAGGAAAGGAGTTATAGACATAACTAACTTGAATGTAGGTGCTAGGAATTTAACCTGGGTGTTTAGGAATAGCAGCCAGTGCTATTAACTGATAAACAAGCTCTTCAGTTTTTTGCTTGTTTGCTTTTTAAATAAAGGACCTAACAATTTATCCGCACTATGAGCCTCATGTGGCTGATAGCCTCTTCCCAAACCTGGAGCTCACCAACTCATTGGCCTCTGTGCTCCAGGGATCCACCTGTCTCTGTGCCTCTGCCCCTGCTTGTGTAAGTGCTGGGGTTACAGATTGATATACTTGCCAAGCCATTCTCTACCAACAACTGCATCCTTTTCTTGCACATTCAAGGATGGCTCATAAGAACTAAAGATCATCTGACCTAAAAACAGACACTAGAAAATCAGTTTTCTTCATGTGTCCCAGAGGCTATCTGGGAAGTATTTATATCTGCAAAGATACAAGACTACTACTGGATTTCTCTTCTGCTCAGACAGGTTACAGTTAAACCGAAACAGGCCACAAGTATCTCCTAATTGCTGTGTAGATCTCCAATTATGTAAAAGTAAAAATAAATAAATAAATAAAGAAAGAAAGAAAGAAAGAAAGAAGGAAAGAACAAAGAAAAAAGGAAAAACGAAAAAAAAAAGGAATGGAGATTTTTGAAACAACCTTCCATACACTTGTTTAAGTTCTGGATTTTTCCTCCCAAAGGCTTCTCTGTCTTTAGGTTTTCACACTTCAAAATGGCTTCAAAATATAGTGTCCTTTCAACAAGCACAAACTTGGTAATTTATGCAAACAACCGCAATACTTAAACACTGTTACAGAAATGTAAACTCTATAATCCACACAGGATTGCTGAACTATTCATTCTCATGCAAAAGAAAATTAGATTGCAAAGGATCTATTCTCGGAAGAGGAAGTAAGAACCAAAGAATGTAATTTTCCAACTCCCAGAGCCCTTCAAGTCAGACTCTGATCCAGTTCTGCCACAATGGCTTTTCATTACACTGCACTCCTCTAGTGAGACGAGTAATTGCTTAGTAATACAGCGATGCTCCAAAGTCCCTGGTTGTAACCAAAACAAGCCCAGTACAGCTTTCAGAACGAAGTGCTTTTCATCTGTATTTCGATCCTAGCTTCAAAGAAGAGGCTGCACGCTGACGAAACCGCCAGGGACACCATTCCTTTTATAAAGAACTAAAGTTCACACAAAGTTCCTGGGCTGTAGAGGCAGTCGGGCCCTTCATTATGGCCTAGGTATGTAATCTTGGGCAAGATGCCCGGTCTCTGAATCTATATACGGATGAATAAAATGGATCTTTTGAACCTCAAGATCAACAGACTTTACGTTTAACGTATAGGTGACCCACTAAAATTAATAATTAAAAGTGGTGTTATTACTGCTACTGTACCCACCACTGCAATGAATATTTAAAATATGGCTAGAACTCATCCCTGTCTTGCAGATCTTGGGCCTCTACAACACAATCAGGGTATCTGAAGGTGGCTGGGGTGAGAGAGGCAGCGATGTACCTGCAGGCCGGAACTCATAACAGGCCAGGAGTCACTCGGAGCTCAAGGTCGCCTGAAACGCAATTACAGGAGCGCTGTTTGTCGAGGAGGGCTGGACAGGACGCTGTGTGGCTCCCTGAGCCTCAGTAACCCCCACTCTCGAGAGAGCGTAGCCTCTGCCAACTCTTTAAATGTTCTCCGAAGTCAGCGATGGAAGACAAGACTCCACCGGCTTAGAAAACTTGTTTAGATCTCAAGCCCAAACTCCCCGGGTTCCGGAGTGACGTAACCACCATGTGAGGGAGCCCTTCACACTATTGGTCCTTGGCACCCGGACAGAGAACTGCGCAACCCTGCTGCGCAGGAAGCGCCATCTTTCTAGCGTTATCTCCATGGCGACCGCGACCCGGTCACCCATTTGGCGCGGCAGTCGAAGTTACGTCATTGCCTGTGCGTCCGGAAGTGACTGTTTCTGCTCCAGGGTGGGCCGCGAAGCCCCGGCCTACCCTGCCTGGGCGCAGTTAAGGCAAACTGATGCGGTGCTGACCCGGTGACCATGGCGGTGTTTCACGACGAGGTGGAGATCGAGGACTTTCAATATGACGAGGACTCGGAGACATATTTCTACCCCTGCCCCTGTGGAGATAACTTCGTCATCACCAAGGTACTCTGAAGGCCCCGCCGGCCACTCCTTGAACTTGCTCATTTTCGCTTCCGGTGTCCCAGGGACCGCTCAGTCATCCACGTGTTCTTCTGAACCCCCGCCCCTTGAAACAGGGTCTGGTCAAGAGCTCTGTTCTCCCTAGGCCCGCCCTTATTTTATTTTATTTATTTTTTTTCTGGGAGCTTCTTTGGAGAAGGGAACTCGATTTTCTCCAGGGTTTTGGAGGCGATTGAACCAACCTAATCTCCCTGGTGATTTTCCTAGATGAGACTTGGGGGAAAGTTCTTTGTACTGTTACCCAACCAAAGACTTTCACATAGACATAAGGAGAGGTTTGTGGGAAGTTGGCTATGCTGACCATATGTTGTCTGATTGCGTTGTAGGAAGATTTGGAAAATGGAGAAGATGTGGCAACGTGTCCTAGCTGCTCACTCATTATAAAAGTGATTTATGACAAAGTAAGGGATATATTAAAGGGGATGATGGGTGGTGTGAGCTAATGACAAAGACCTAAAGCAGCCTGTCTGATGGAAAGAGTGAAAGAGTTTTGGATGTTTGTTTGTTTTTTGAGACAGGGACTTTTATGTAGCCCTGGCTGTACTGGAACTATTTGGACCAAGCTGGCCTTGAGTTCACAGAGATCTGCCTGTCTTTGCATCCCAAAAGCTGGGATTAAAGGTGTGCACCACCACACCCAGCCTAGAATAGTTTCTAGAATAGTTTCTAATAGTGTGCTATTAGAAGAGCTATTTATACAAAGCTTTTAAAAATAGTCAGTACTGCTGGGCGGTGGTGGCGCACACCTTTAATCCCAGCACTTGGGAGGCAGAGGCAGGTGGATTTCTGAGTTCGAGGCCAGCCTGGTCTACAGAGTGAGTTCCAGGACAGCCAGGGCTACACAGAGAAACCCTGTCTCGAAAAAAACCAAAAAAAAAAAAAAGTCGGTAGTTGTATTCTAATCTTGTTCAAGTTTAAATTATGTAACTTATGATCACTTTGGAGAGAGCAATAAGGAAATTGCTTTGTAATGAAAATTGATGACTTAATCAGGAATGAAAAATTATCATGAAGGTTATTTTAATTGATGTTCCTTTTGACATTTCTCTTGTATTTAATATTTAGTTTAGTCTGTTTAAAGCTCTAGGACATTTCTAGAAGATTGCATTTTATTGCTTGCCTAGCATATGTATAGAGTCTACCTTGTGTGAGATCTAATTTTTAGATGCAGTGTTATAGTTTCATGTTCCTTTGTATCCAATAAGAATGGCAACAGGGGGCTGGAGAGATGGCTCAGTGGTTAAGAACACTGACTGCTCTTCCAGAGGTCCTGAGTTCAATTCCCAGCAACCACATGGTGGGACAAAGACAACCATCTGTAATGGGATCTGATGCCCTTTTCTGGCATGTCTGAAGATAGCTACAGTGTACTCATATAAATAACAAATAAATCTTAAAAAAAAAAAAAGAATGGCAATAGGAAAGGGGTAAATGGCTTTACTTCCCACCCAAAGTTCAGTTAGTGCTTTGGAGTCTTAAGTAAGGAATTTGACAGTCTTAAGGATAAATTCTAAAATGAGTATAGGGTAAGTTGGACCAAAGCACAGAACTTTGTGAGAAGCAGGTGTTAATTTAGACAGTAATACAGAAATGAAATGATTCACTCTTATATTAAAATGGCTTATGGAACAAAGAACAACAGGGACAGACTAGGGACTGACTCCTTGGGAATCACACTGTAGGGGATGTGTAGTAACTGGGAAAGTTCTGTGGTAGCTGGCTTAAACCAGGATGAAAGGTCAGAGCCTGTACTTAATGTACAAGTAGTTACTGTTGCAGGTATGTGTTGGGAAACACACAAAACAAAGACAGTCTTTTTATTGCTCATTTTGAAGAGCTTACATATTTGAGTGACCAGATACTGATCTGATTAATATAAAAACTTGAAAGATGTGACATGTTTATTTCTGGGACCTGGTTGCTCCCTAGCTAAGATATTTATGAGACACTGCTTATTAACTAATGGCCTCAGGGCTAAACTTCAGCATACTTTTAGATTCTGGTTCTAGTGCTAACACCAGCTCTCTGTATAAAAATAAAGTGTTATTGAGTCTGGGGAGATGGATTAGTGGTTAAGAGCTTCCAAAAGAAGTGGGCATTTATATCTCCCACAATGGTGGTTCACAGCCACCTGCAACTCCAGCTCTAGGGAATCTGGTGTCTTCTAACCTCATGGGCACCCACACACACGTGGGGTACACACATACACACAAGTGAAAAAGCAAAAGTAAGTCTTTAAAATGTTCCTTTGTCTCCAGTTGTGTCAACTGGGATAACTACTAATACCTATTGGGTAGATCAAGGGCACAGTCCATCCCTGAACAACAGTTAGTACTGGTACATAAGTCTTTTTTTGTTTGTTTGTTTTTTGAGACAGGGTTTTTCTGTATAGCCCTGGCTGTCCTGGAACTCACTCTGTAGACCAGGCTGGCCTCGAACTCAGAAATCCGCCTGCCTCTGCCTCCCAAGTGCTGGGATTAAAGGCGTGCGCCACCACCGCCCAGCTACATAAGTTTTTTTTTAAACTAAATTTGTTGGCATTCTTGGATTTTCCCCTAAATTTCACATCATGATTTTTTTCAATTGCTAGCATTAAAAAAAAAGAAGGAAAAGAAAGACAGTGAAAAAGAACAGTGAAAAAACTTAATAGCCAGATTGATTCTGTAGCCAAATGAAAGTGATGCGAATGCATTTGTGGGACAAACACCTGGTGGCCAATAGCAATTCTTCTTCTCCTTAGGATCAGTTCATGTGTGGAGAAACAGTTCCAGCACCTTCAACCAACAAAGAGTTAGTTAAATGCTGAAGAAGCTCTCAGGAACCCACATCCTGAACAGCGGGGGCTGAGTCCAGGTGGATGGATCCAGTGCAGAGTTACCAACCTCCTCAGTGGGCAGCTGTCCTGTGGATGGCCTCGTGGGGGTGATCTTCATCAGCCACTGAACTCAGCATGAAAAAGTGAGCCTGTGACATGTCAGACCTGGATTCCATACTTAGTGGAACTGGAAGGATTCCTAATTGTCCATCTGAATTCAAGGAGAGCCTCATAAACTGGCGGTTTTCCTTCAGTGGGTTGCATCATTTGAATATCTGAAAGTTCATTTTCTGAAAATAACATCATCCGCCTCAGTCCTGAGAGTTGTCTTTTTATTTTTTAAGATTTGTTATTTTATTCTTAATTGTGTGTATATGTGCATTTGTGTGTGGGTATGTGCATGTGAGTACCATTGCCCAAGATGGAGCTCCTGGAGCAAGAGTCACAGGCAGTTGGGAGCCACCTGACATAGGTGCTGGGACCTGAAAACACTACACATCCCTAACCTCTGAATCATCTCTCCATCCCATGATGGGAGCTTTAAAATATTACGTTTTGACATAGTTTCTGAGGTGGTTCAGATGAGGCCTTTCTTGGAAACATAAGGCAATCTGCCTTCTCCAGTGCTGCACTTCCAGCTCCTTCACCAGCCAATCAGCCTGGGCTTGCCATGATTCCGTTGTTCCAGTTCTTAATCATTTCTGTTACTTTTCATGTGCAGAGTACAGTCCTGGTGTTAGACTGTAAGTGAGGAAGGAAGGACCTTCTGACGTGAAATGGCAAAAGAAGCAGCGCTCCTGATGCCCTGTGCCTGCATCCTTACATCAGGACAAGTTAAAAGGAAACAGCCAACAGAGACACTGCTGGCAGACGGCAGAGACGTAAAGCCTGCTAACTTGGCAAGTGAAAGTACATGAATAATTGCCAGCTGGAAACGAGTATGTCTGTATCAGGGCCTTTATTTCTTGAAATGCCTGATGGGATTGCATCTCAGACGGCTGAGGCTGATCTTCATATGCAGTGGTTGTAGCGTAGCACAGCTTTGTGTCACTGTTAGTCCTAAGGAGTGTAGACTCCACAACAGAGGATGAGCTTGGAAGTGTGAGCTGGCTCTAACAGATATGCCTATGATGGCACACCTAGGAAGACTGCACATAATGGTACCCAAGTCAGACATGCACCCCTGCTGAGTAATTCCTCCCTTGAAAAAAGAGGTATATGTCAAGATGGACTATGACTACTAGTCTTTCTTCACTTCAGTCTGAGAGCATCGAGAAGTTAGACTCACTTATTCAGAAATTTGAAAAGTCCTTTTGTAAACACAGCTTTGCTTTGAATGCATAAGGGTTTGAAAGTTCACCACTTACCCAGCAGATTGTTTGGGGTATGGCTCCTGTAACTAGAAGAAAAGCCCATAGGGACTAGAGAGATGCCTCATGGATTAAGAGCTCTTTCTGTTCTTGTAGAGGACCTGTGTTCAGTTCTTAGCACCCACTCGCAACTATTTGTGACTCTAGTTCCTAGGGTTCTGATGTCCTCTTCTAACCTCCATAAATACCAGGCATGTGTTGCGAGAGGTATTAGAAAAGTTTGGAGCGGCCGGGCAGTGGTGGCACATGCCTTTAATCCCAGCACTTGGGAGGCAGAGACAGGAGGATTTCTGAGTTCGAGGCCAGCCTGGTCTACAGAGTGAGTTCCAGGACGGCCAGGACTACACAGAGAAACCCTGTCTCGAAAAACCAAAAAAAAGAAAAAAAAAGTTTGGAGCATCCAGCAAGCTCCCCGCCTCCGCCATGCTCCCACTTTAAGTTCCCACACTGAAGGTGGCACCGGCTGGCCAGTGGCCACTAAACCCATGAGACGTTGGCATGGCTGCTCCCTCCGCTGGTCAGCTCCGTGGAGTCCACGGCTCTAAACATGGCTCCTGGGCCAACTCTGCCACTCCCATGCCGTAGATATAATAATTGCCAGTACCTGTTAGAAATAAGACTCTTAATGCTTAAAGATTATACAATAGATTTTATATTAGCAAATACTCAATACACAAGGTGCCCACACAATTAGAATTGTTAACCCAATTACCTAACCTTGATATGATTAACTACCCGAGACTACTAGAGACAGGTACATCTGCCTCCATCTTGCTTTTCCTCCTGCTCCTTCCTTCTCCTTCCCCCAAACCTTCCTGCTCCACCTCTCCTTCTACTGCCCAATCACCGGCTTTAGCCTTTGTTTTACAAATTAAGGTGGGCAGAAGGTTCACAAGAAGTCTGTGTACTGATTCACTCCTCATCTGTAGCCCCTCACAGGAAAGCAGAATTAGTATTAAAATACAAGACCAGGGCTATCCACAACAGGCATGCACGGAGTTCACAGACATACATGCAGACAAAAAACCCATACAACTAAATAAATTTTTTTAAAAAAAGAAGTGGCCAATAAATATATTGTATCCACTCATTGGAAGTTTGAATTAAAATATGTAACCAAGTTTTTTAACCAGTGGGAAGTGTATGGATTCTAAGCAACCATTAGGCTGAGACTTAAGTTAAAAGTTGTACAGTACACATCAGATTTCTCTGTCTGTGGGAGGTGGGAAGGTATTGAACCCAGGGCCTTGCTCTTACTGGGCAAATGCTCCAGTAACTGGCCTGCATCTTCAGCCAGCACAGTTTTCACAGAAAATTGTACTGCTATTTGGTGTCTCCCAAATTACCTTACAAAACAAAGACAACTGTCCAGACAGGCAGAACAAGGTAATTGTGGTGAGGAGGAGCTGCATGGAGAAACAGATTGTCTTGTGCTCATCAGATGGATGGGTTTGGAAATTCCACTAGCAGTCTTTCTCTGCTGCTGCTGTTGCTGCTGCATTCCACAGCAGATGTCTTGATGTGGGTCTTCTGTGAACACAGAGGAGCAGGAGTCCAAGTTCAGACACTCAGGAGAGAAAGCGTGAGCAGGCTGGTGGTGTGTGCCTGGTCGGTGTGATGTGCTTTTGTCTTTTTTTTTTTTTTTCCTTTGTTGGAAGATTTTTTTAATTGAAAGCTGTGTTTTGGGGCTGGAGAGATGGCTCAGCGGTTAAGAGCACTGACTGCTCTTCCAGAGGTCCTGAGTTCAAATCCCAGCAACCACATGGTGGCTCACAACCATCCGTAATAAGATTGGATGCCCTCTTCTGGTCTGTCCGAAGACAGCGACAGTGTACTCATAAATAAAATAAATAAATAAATCTTTTTTTTTTTTTTTTTTTTTTTTATTTATTATATGTGAGTACACTGTAGCTGTCTTCAGACACCCCACAAGAGGGCATCAGATATCATTGCAGATGGTTGTGAGCCACCATGTGGTTGCTGGGGTTTGAACTTATGACCTCTGGAAGAGCAGTCAGTGCTCTTAACCACTGAGCCATCTCACCAGCCCAAATAAATAAATCTTTAAAAAAAAAAAAAAAAAAAGAAAGCTGTGTTTCTTTAACAAATCTCTTATTTATTCCTGTGATAGTTTGGAAAACTTGTATTTTACAAGGGATTTATCTGTTTCATCTAAGTTGTTGAGTGATTTTGTCTTTAAAGCAACCAAGCAAGTTTATAAACTATAGAAGAAATACCAGCTATTAGCCCCCTGTTAAACAGAAACAGCGAAGGTCTTTCAGATATGACTGGAGTCCCAGATGTTTCCAGAGTGCCTCTGAGAACCAGTAAGTGTACCTGCTCTGTCTCATAAGTCCTGTAGTCTTTGACAGGGCCTGTGGATGGACAACTCATCTGTACAGGAAAGTGATGGGGTCAGGTGATCTCTCAACTGTCAGTTCTTGTTTCAGCTGTGGTTCCTTGTCAGATCTTTCGTAAACCCAAAACTATCCTGAGTGGAAGCTCCATTTTTCTTTCACAATATCACACTTCAGAGTGTTTCTAGTCAGTTCTTCAAAGAATTCTTTCCTCTCATGCTCATGCTTTTCTCTCTTGAGGTGTTTGAACTTGGGACTCCTCCTTTGTGTTCACAGAAGACCTACAGAAGATCAATAAGTTCACATACGAATTCAGACACAGCCAGCAATTTTTTAGTATGTATCAATTCATTAGAATAACTTGCATTGCCAAGCTAATAAAATGAGAACATGCAAATTCATGTTTGTTGAAGCTTTTATTCCACCAAATACTAAAACTTTACATTAAAAGGTTTTGGTGTCATGATTTTACATAAGGTAGAACTCTTAACTTTGGGCCATCGTAAATAGGTTTCTAGTGTGGGCGTTACAGTGGTTGAAATCTAGGCTGGATTTCCAGGTTTCTTGGCCTCTTATTCAAGAAACTGAAATAAAGGCTCATTGCAAAGGTAGCAAGGATTAGAAAGGAGGCTACATGGGGCAACATACCCAAGAGCTTCAGATTATTGTTGGGGGCTTCTTTTTATAGGGTCCAGAAGGGGGAATTTGGTTAGGATCGAAATAGTTTGAATGGTTCTCTGTTTTGATTGATAAGTTAAATTATATAATCACTTCTTTCCTATGCTTGTCCCCCAAATGTGTATGATTTTAATCATACCCACACTGAATGCTCTGTAGTTTTAAGAAGGTAAAATAGGGGATTATCACTTTAGGTTCACTGGAGGACAGCTTGTTTTATTGTGCACACAAAACTGGTTCAGGCCATGTTGGTGTAGTTGCAGCATAGTGTGGTAGAAATGTTTAATCTCGGTCTAGGGTTTCTGCCCTGACTTTGACCATTTAGTTCCTGGATAAAAGACACACACAACCTTTATATTTACAATAAGTCTTAATCAGCCACTAGAGCTGGGCAGATATCTACCCTCTATGCTATTAAAATCTATTTCCTATTGATATTCCTGAGTTATTACTATATTTCATCTGGACTGCTCTTAACTCTAATTGTCCAGGTCTCAGGGCCATGGTTTTTTGACTCCTAACCTATGGTGTCTTTCTCTCAGCAGTGGTTCTCTCCCGATGCCCCAAGGCCCGGGAACCCTAAAACCTGCTTATGTCTCTTCATCCCAGCTATTGGCTGTTGGTATCTTTTTTTGCCAATCAGAAATAATTGGGAGGGGGAAGGTCACATAGTTACCCCCAAATGGATAAATAGTATCCATTCAATCAATAAGCAGAAAACATTTTGTTGCTGTTTATAAAAGCTAAGCCTAATAATATACACGGGTGTGGGGTGAGGGGGTGAGGGGTAGGGGGATGGAGGGGTGGAAGTAGGGGAGGAGTTTTGTTTTTTTTTTTTCTTGAGGCAAGGCCTCACTGTATAGCCCTGGCTAGCCTTGAACTCACAGATATCTGCTTTCCATTGCCTCCTGAGTGC